CACATACATTATATCCACCTTTTTCTTCAGTGCGGAAGTAAGCCTATGGGCGAGACTTCCGGTTCATTAGCCGCTATAGGTAAATAACGAGAAGAATAACAACGTGCAGTAAAATAGTTTGCACCACAAACCAGTGTGTTCATAATTAAGATAATACATTAAATAATATGGTGAGACACACCAATTTTCAATATCAAGCAGCACAACGAACTGTTTTGTACAGCTAAAAATAGCTGGACACGGATGAGATCGGAAGCTAGACCCATAAAATTAACAAATGCCCATCTTGCCTATTTTTACGGCAAGAAAAAGGTGGATTGAAACTGCAGGTTAATGGGTATATACTATATAGGTGGTATTTTGAAAAAACAATTTCCACTTGCTTTTGAGGCCTTTTCAAACACTTCATTCTGAACAAATCACTCTCTCATTTACTCCGTTCCAATTCTCTTAATAGTGAACTCCACATGGCGGACTTAGCTAAGTTACAGGGCTCTACGCTTACTTTTCTTTTTAGCAGCACTTGTGCTCCTAACTTAAAAAATGTAGGAGCACGTTCAAAATTTTAGGAGCACCTTCTAATCAATAATCCAAAATTGTATTAAAAATTAACCTTCCCATTACGAGGTGATATTTGACTCAAAGTGATTTACAGTGGAATTTTGTTTTAACCTTTGTAATGGCATTTTTCTAACTTTATTAAAAGTATGTCATCTTTTGTCAAATTCTTAAAAAAATTACATTATAAGCTTTTTAAAAATTAGACAAGTAGAATAAGAAACATAAGTTACCAATCAAATGATATCAGTATTAACACAATTAATTTGTAGAGGTGGCACAGAAGAACACAAAAGTAGCTAGGTGTACTTTCAGACATTTAATGAGGCTCAGAAGTGGAATGAGTGCAATTAAATCCATAAATTCATGATGAAATTTATGTTTTAAATATAACATTTTTAATATAGAAATATTAAATGATTTAAATAACTGAAAAGATACTTTAAAAATGAAACTAAAACTGCCAGAATCACTGAATCATTCATTCAATTGATTCATTCAGGAATGAAGCAAGTGACTGTCTTTATGAATGGGTAATCATGAATCACTGACTCACTAGATTCTTTTAAAAACACCCGTTCATTCATAAACGAAACACAGCTGTGTTTGAATGGAGATGCGCAGTGGCTCCGCTGTGTCGGTGTCTTTGTTTTAAACTATTTTCTACAACGAAATAGAGCAAAATCAGACAATAGTGTTATAGTCAGACAATGTAAGTCACTTAATATTAACTTCTTGTTTATTGTATTAAGTATCAGTATCACATTTACAAACTCCTTTAAAAATCATTAAAAGCTGTCTCTCATCTTAGTTCATCTCACATTTATAATCAATGAATCTCTTATTTACACCCTGTCACCCTGTCTCTTATGAAAGGATTTGTGAGATATGTCTGTGATACATAACTCAATGCTGCAAAAACACATAGAAACCTTTAAACCTTTGCTGAGCGCAATCACAAGTATGATGATGATCGGGTCAGTCGCACTGGTGCTCCTAAAAAAATGTTTATATTCGCACGCAGTAGTTTTCAGTCGCACTGTAGAGCCCTGGAAGGTGGTGTTGACGTCGGGAAAGCACCTGAATCCGCCATTTTAAGCAATGAATGAATGACGGACTCACCGTTGTAACATCGCGCAAGGCAAATAAGGGGGTGACATCTAGTGGATTAGACTAGTAATAAGATGAACGTAAATCTTATGTTCAATGTTTGCAGAAATAAATATTGAAAAAAATCGAGAATCAACATTGAATCGACCACATTTTAAAAAACCATATATCGAAAAATATTTTTTTTGCCCAGCCCTAGTAAGAGCTGAACCTGGTGGAACATGCCTCTGATGTCTCCACTAACTGCCACCGCATGTTCCCTGAAGCGTAATAAAACTCCCAGAAGAGAGGCTCCCAGAGTTGTTCCAGGAAGGAGGGTGTCATTGAGGCTTCGGCCTTGGAATTGAAAAGAGCAGTTGAAGACCAAACGACTTTTCTCGTTATGACTTACTAAGTGATGCGGTATGTACCATGACTCATTGGTGGCTAAGGCTTTGCCTGGGTCTATCCTCCTGATCGCGCCTACTTCCAACAACTTCCGAATCGCTGCACAGTACTCTTCAGCTTGTAGAGGATCCCGGGCCAAGCGTCTCTCTAGACTCCTGAGGCTGGGTAGGACGGCTTCCTTGGGAGCTCTGAGTGGGGGAACGCCTTGCTTCCTTAGCAGGGGCATGGCATATCTAAGGATACCTGCAACCTGTACTCGCCTCGTCCTGGCCTCCAAGTGCTCCAGCGCTTCCTTATCCTGCTTTGATCTCACTGCCAGTTTGCTACTCTGGTATGGCAGGATGTCCATCTTCCTGAGCTTCTCCACATTCTGCATCAGCTCTGTCGTCTGGGATGAGACACCAGTGAGGAGACACTGCTGGATACTCGGGGCCCACTGGGTAAGGTGTGCAGGTCCTTGGAGCATCCATCCCAGCCTCGTGCGAATGGCCGCCGGACCTCCAGGAGGGCCCAGTCTCACCGGCTCGACAGGGGTAAGTAGATGGGGGTAGTCTGCACCAATCAGCACGAGCGGCTTGACATGTTCAAATGGCTCAAGGGGGAGTTCTGCTAGGTGTTTGTACCTCCTCTTCAGACTGGCGATGTGAATCACTGACTCACTAGATTCTTTTAAAAACACCCGTTCATTCATAAACGAAACACAGCTGTGTTTGAATGGAGATGCGCAGTGGCTCCGCTGTGTCGGTGTCTTTGTTTTAAACTATTTTCTACAACGAAATAGAGCAAAATCAGACAATAGTATTATAGTCAATGTAAGTCACTTAATATTAACTTCTTGCTTATTGAACTGTTGAATTATATCAGTATCACATTTACAAACTCCCTTAAAAATCATTAAAAGCTGTCACTCATCTTAGTTCATCTCACATTTATAATCAATGAATCTCTTATTTACACCCTGTCTGCACTTTGCTTATGAAAGGATTTGTGAGATATGTCTGTGATACATAACTCAATGCTGCAAAAACACATAGAAACCTTTGAAGCTCCCTGAGCGCAATCACAAATATGATGATCGGGTCAGTCGCACTAGTGCTCCCAAAAATTTTTTCATAGTCGCACACAGTAGTTTTAAGTGGCAAATGCGACTGAAATGGTCGCACTGTAGAGTCCTTAGAGTGAACTAAACAAAGTTCCTTTTTTTAAAACAATTCAGTCCACTTGGAGGTCAATTTGGTAATGACCCTAGGCAGCTATTTCCAGTCAAGTGCAACTCATATTTACATTACGGTTCAAGAGTTTGGTAATTGATTTAATTATTTATTTAAGAAATTAACATTTTTATTCAGCATTGATGCATTCAACTGATCAACAGTGTAAATAAAGACATTTACAATGTTACAAAACTCTCTATTTACCAAAGAGTCCTGAAAAAAAAGTATCACAATTTTCACAAAAATGTATTTCAACTTTGACAATAATAATAATTAGTATATTAGAATGATGTCTGAAGGATCATGTGACACTGGAAACTAGATTATTGGCTACTGAAAATTCAGCTTTGCCGTCACTGGAATAAATAACATTTTAAAATATATTCACATTAGAAATAATTTTAAACTGCAATAATATTTCACAACATTATTATTTTTACTGTATTTTTAATCAAATAAATGCAGTCTTGTTGAGCATGAGAATTTTCAAAAACATAAAAATCTAACCGAATTCAAACTTATGAACAGTAGTGTAAAGTTTTGGAAAGACCAAAATCTCTAAAACTGTTTGTCAATTTTATTGATTATATGTCATCTTCAGGTAAATAATGAGTATTGGTGAATCATTCACCATATTTTCATTTCCTCTGTGTACAATCCTCCCAGATAAAATAAAGTTATTGTATTTGATTAATCAAGAAAGATAAAACACTTGGCATTGATTTAACTAATACTTTAATAATATAAATTATTATAAGTAAAAGTAAATATAAAAGTAAATATAATTTACACTCATTTCCAATTTGTATAAATTTCCTTGCTGCATTTTTGATGACTTAAGGAGCTTGGAAAACTTGGCAAAACAGCGTTCGTGCATGTAGACTGGTTGCATCTGGGTTTAAAACATAACTATAAAGTGAATATAATTTTGATGTTATGTATGTTTAGACAACACTACATAGGGAACAAAGAGCAAATTTGGACACGGTAGATAGTACGTTACACATTGCAAAGGACTGTTCCTTCTCCTCATCCTTCAGCATCGGACAGTACATTGTGCTACGAGCACCCAGACAGGCATCAGAGCAAAGGAGAACACTACAACTTGAAATAAATGAACAATCACTTTGAAGGACCTTGGAAAGAAAATAAACAGAATCAGATTAAAAAGAGCACATTTGCAAGGAGAAACAGGAGTGGTATCCCATCAGTGGGCTTTTGTAGAGGGACACAGACCACCTGGGCTCCGCTCTCGTCTCTTCTATCAGTCCTTCATACTTATTTTCTGTTCATTCACCATCCGTCTTTCATCTTCCCTCCAGAGTCCATGCTCTCTTCTCCTCTCGGTTCACCGAATCTCACTCTCAGTGCTTTATTATTAAAGTGTATGGTCTAAGACACCAGTGACACCACAGAGACAATGAGCTATTCTACTCTGTCACTGTAATCAGATGAACCAATAGAGAGGAAGAGAATCAATGGTCACCTCTGACCTGCTGCCGATGGGTCTATGGACAAGCAGATGCTGGTGTCTTCAGTTTTCATGAATGTAGGCCTTGTGTTGTGCTTTTTTAATCCTACATCTATGTTGTACATGAGAATCAAGTCCATATGTAGTACATTTACTAGAGAAAGTTAACAACAACTAAACTGGTTTCACGGGTAAAAGAGCCTATAGGGAGCTTTGACTCTGGTTATGAGATACTGTTAAAAATATGACCCCATACTCACTGTGTTGGAAGGGCGAGGGTGCTGGGCTGGACTTTGGGTCTTCTTTTGGCAGATGTTCCCATCTGATTGGCTGAGCGTTTGAGTGACTGTTGGTTTAGAAGACTGGAGGCCAGACCTGCATGGTACTGTAACTACAGAAAGAAAAACACATGTTCAGGTACTAGGGCTGCAAAATTAACACACATTCTCCTGATCATGGTTATTCAATTCCATTTATTTGGTCTTTATTTGGAATGCGCATCAACATTTCATATATATGTACGCAAAAAGTGAACAATTTAAAACAATTCATGTTATTTTAAAATTACATTTTGTTCATTTTTAATACAGTGGTAGCCAAAATTATTAGAACACTAGTATTTTCACCAGCTAAAAAATGGTTTTAAGTCAGTTATTTCTATCTTTTACTGTAGTGTGTCAGTAGCAAATATCAGTTTACATTTCCAAACATTCATTTTGCCATTAATTGTAATAATCCAGGGAGATTTTTGTCTGACAACAGCCAGTGCTGCACACAGAGATCTGATTTCATCATCATCCACTGAGACAGACTAAATCCAGTAAGGTCGTACAAATTTATGAATGAACCGCTCATTTTAAATTCTTCCCTTTTTACTGACATTTGTTATGAAATCCGCTTCGATAAGAACTGCAATAAGTAAATTCACTTCGCTAGCCATTTACTCTTCAACAATGATGATACCGGTATCGCAAATATGGACGTTCAAAGACAAAATTCTAAAGATGGCTGCACACTCGTTTCTCTGATGCATAAGGTCTATTGTAAATGCAAAATAGTAAAATAATGAACATTTACTATTCCAAAACGAGTGTTGAATGTTATTATAACAATATAGTATTTAAATTGTTTGGGTAAAAAAAAAGGACTGCTCAACTGGCCATCTACACAAACATATCTGCATCTATTCGAGTTTTATGGCCAATGGGTCAAATTTGAGTCCCACGGTGACTGCATTCAAGCCCTGAATTCAGAAACTCGGAACATGAGTGTCCACAGAAGCTTCTGTAGCTTTACAAAGGACAGTAAAAATGTAAAACGAACTCATCACAGCCTAATTGGGCTTTTATGAATTGTTTACCCAAAGCACATTTCCAATCTTGTCAACAATCTGCTCTTCTGGGAGAAAGCACAGTTGCTTGCATATAGTACTCCATCACGTTTTCCTTGTGTTCCTCCTTGTCTCCTGCCCACCTCCTCCCCCTCGCCTCCTGTCTTACTATGTTGAACATAACATGGTGCGTTTAATATTTTTGGCTTTGAAGTCGCAGTATCGCAGAAACCTGTCAATAGCTCTTCTGCTCATGTGATGAAACCATGTGAAAGGTGTCCGCTACCCAGAATGCTCAGGTGTAGCACTCTGTCACTCAAGTCAGGACAGATGTTAATGGATGTGACAGAACTCTGGACCTGGCATCATCCTGCATGCTTAAACAACATCTGGGCAGTTAAACATTGGGAAATTGCTTTCCATTGGTGCCAATGGTTCTACAGGCTACTTAGGCTTACAATGCTTTTGAGAAGCCAAGGAGAACTTCAATGCTAGCTAACTAACAAAAGGCTAACTTGATTGTTAACCAACTACTTTTATAAATGAGTGACTTATTGCTTCACAAACTGCACCTTCAAAGTATCTTCTCCAACACTGCTGCTCTGGACAGTCAGCTTGCTGGGAAATCTCAAGAAAATCAATAGTCCGTGAGCAACATGCTGGTAGCGAGCGAGGCCAATCGTAACACAAGCGGTGACAAAAGCGATCTCATCAGGCTTCAGAATTCATCGGCATGCACCCCCACACAAACCGGGCTCTTAAATTAGAGCTTGCATAGGCCCGTGCCTCATTAATTGCTATTAAAATATTCCTCCTGTTGAGCTAATTAGCCATGTTCCGAGGCAGCGGAGCGACGTTCTCTGAGTGAGAAGCAGACGGTGCAGCACTCCCCGTTTTAATTTGGCTGACCAAAGCAGCTGTGTTAACGGGGAATTATTTTAATTAACTGAATCTCCTTTTCGTAGCTAATGAGCCGACTTGGTAAGGGCCAGATCTTGTACAAGCGTAGCGTGTACGGTGGGAAGCTGGGCTCCAGCTGTATAAAAAGCCCTTGCTAATAAATAAAAAGCCTACATAAGGTAAGAAAAAAAACAACACACAGATAGAAGATGCTGTCAAGATGGCTCAGGCGCCTTTGAATGTCAAGTGGCTTGAGAGATAACATCCACATCAATCACCACTGGTTTAAATATTGGCCCCTGGTAATTGTGTAGTTTTGTAATTCATGGATAATTCAAAATATTCTTCATTATAGAAGAATATTTTGAATGTACTGAATGTTTGATATATTTGTGATAAGATTGCTGGAACTGGAGTTAGTAAATTCAATTCAATTATGTGCAATTTAAACTGTCAGTTCTAATGAATTAATCTAATGAATTAATATAATATCAATTACTCAGCGAAGTGAGAGTTCTACATGTATTTTTTAAATTAAAGTACTGTATTTTATATGAACCAATTTCAATACAGACTTAAAATAATGCTAAAAACGCCATCATAAAGTCAATATGAAATTTAAAAAACTCAATTCAATTAATTATTAATAATAATTAATACAAATTGAGAACTAAATAAATTTGATACATTTTTTACGTCAAGATATAATGTATTACAATGCACATTATGAATAATTATAATGCATTATACACTTTAATAACCATTTACAATGAATTATACATAATGGCTTACAAAAACATTATTCCAATATATATATATATATACTCGATATAATTTTCTATTAAAATGTGACCTGCATCAATTTTGGTTTGAAACACTTTAATAATTACCTGGTGGATTAAATAGTCTTAATTTACATCTACATTTTTCTTGATGAATATCCTGTTTTACTCAGAAATATTTCAGAAGTAAAATGGGTTGCAAATGTTGCTTCATGTTAATTGTGAGTAAACATCAAAATATATACTGAATATTGTCAAAAGGCTGAAAAACGATTGAAAAATGATTTTTTTTAAAGTATGCTGCCCAGTATTTCCTATGTATTTCTGTCAATTAGAGGAACTCAAAGCAACATCTACAAGATGAAGTCTTGTTCACAAAGAAAGAGGGACAGTGAAAAAACAATGAGGCAAAGGACAAAAGACGTTGAGGACAGCGGAGAATGAGTACAAGAGAGAAAGAGACACAGAGGACAAGATGGGCATTACCCAGAATGCTGTAAGGCAGCTGAGAGTGTCATCTCATTGGGGCAGTTGAAGATTAAAGCGCGGGGTCAGAATCTCACTTGTGAGAGGATGCACGGGACAAGCACACACAATCAATGTCACCGTCAAATGGAACAAAACAAGACAGCCTCTTTCACTGGAAGCAGACACAATCACAGAAGCACAGAAAAACCATTGCATTGTGCTATACCACATTATCATGCTATAATCCAATCTAAGATGTTACACATTCCGTTTTAAATAAGACAGTTCAAAAGCACACAAATGCATTCCAAGGAGACCTTTGGAAACACTTTACCTCAAGGCTGTGTGTGTGTGTGTCTGTGTGTGTGTGTATATAAGCTTAGGGCAAGCAATATACTGATCATGCGCTTCAATATATTATTCTATTAAAAGGTGAAGCCATAAATGGGGACATATTAATGCATACAGTAATTCACAACATATTCTATACTGTGAATTAATTATGATGCATAGTCATACTATATGTAAATGCTTCAAGTACATTTAAACATTAAACCTGGAACATTTAAAAAGGCTTTTAATTCTTTAAGACCTTTTAAAGATTTTATTTTTTTAATGAGGACAGGGCATCCACCAGACTCTTCCAGATCTCTGCAACACTCCGACTGCAGTGCATCTCATTCCTGATGCTTTTGCATTTAATACTATAAGCAGATCTAGAGGACTAGTACTTATGCAAGCAAATGTCCCTGCATTATTCCATGCAACTAATTGCACATGCCCATCAAATCCAATATCTATTCAAAGAAGCTTCGCCGAGGAGGGAACAGCAAGAGCATGTAACGAATATTAAGTACAAGTTGAAACAACTCTCTTTGATCATTCGCCGCTTGTAACTCTGCACTGAAAAATTATGAAGTGACTATTTGTATGAGTGCGTCTTTATCTAAAATCCCACCATAACTTTACACAGCCTTCAGGGGAACTCAGTTCTGCTAGATTTTGAGATGTAAGAATGTAGAGGGTAGGGCTGGATGATATGGCCAAAATTTATATCACGATATATTTCTTAATTTCGGTCGATACGATATAATTCCGATATTGATATGAACACTATAAAAAAGGCCAAGAACGGCCACAACAGATGTCTGTACATACAAACTTATGAAAAATTAATTTTCCAAGTCTATGACACCACATATAAAGCCATATACTATTTTAGAAAAAAAAACAGCACAAATAAATTAATGTTCACCTTTTATTTGTATTTAGCCTTCATATAAACGTGAAGAAATGTGAAATCACTGTCAAATAATCGTCTCAGACTCACCTAATTAATATTAATATCTTTAACTTCAAACTATAGGCTAACATACAGTACACTACCAGTCAAAAGTTTCTGAACAGTAAGATTTTCTATGTTTTTAAAGAATTCTCTTCCGTTTACCAAGCCTGAATTTATTTGATCCAAAATAGAGCAAAAACAGTAACATTTCAACATTTTTGCTGTACTTTGGATTAAATAAATGCAGGCTTGGTGAGCAGAAGAGAATTCTTATAAAAAATAAAATAAAAAAAAAACCTTTACCTATCTTACTGTTCAAAACCTTTTGACTGGTAGTGTAGGCTGATTATTCTTATAGATTGAAACAAATGTGCTTTAGCCAGTATAAAGAGTATGAAAAGTGCTCCGAGTTGCTGAAAAAAACAAAAACAAAGGGCAACAAAAACATGTTGCTGGGGACAGGCTTACTGAAAATGCAAACTGATTGTCTGCCAGCAGGAGGCGCTTTGAGAGCGGCAGAACTAGCGGTTTCCCCAGTAATGGCTGTAATCAAATCAGCTCCGCTCATGAACGCTTCTTTATCAGATAAAATGAAAATGCCATCGAAACTTTTCTCAAGACAGTCC